GCTTCTTTCTTTGTTTCAGATCCATCACTTCCCACTAATAACACTCTAGGGATGCTGCTGCTGTATCATATTGCTTTTCAGAATTCTGGGCTCTAGATTTTATCCTGACATTTGACTAAGCCATAATACAGAAAAGGGGTTGCAAGGCAGGTGAGTAGCTCCTTCACAGTGAAGCAAAGGTGTAAAAAGATTCTGTAAACAGTAACGCTTACAACTACTTAATAAAATTAGCTGTAATGGTTACAGTTAAATATGGATACAGTTTGCATATTTAGCCCTACTGTGACATGCAGCAATTTATTTCTATTTCATACACCTTATACCTTTGCAATAGAATGCATTTATCAGGAAAAATATCAAACAACCAAATCCTGAGTCTGAGACAACCTAATTCAAATAGGTGTATAGTTTTAAATACTAAAAAAGTCCAAACATCAAAATATCAAAAAGAATTTTCTCTCACTGACTCCAGCCAGCCTTAGGGAATCTAACAGCTACTGTCAGTAAGTATTTCAGAGTAAAAGGGCTGAAACCTGTAAGTGAATTACAATTACTTCCAGTGAGTTGATAATTATTCAAAGCAGAGAAAAAACCCAAATTATTGACCAAAGGGGGAAATCCTGGAATCTCTACCTTCTGCAGATTTACCCAACCTTTTCAAAGAGGTTTAGACTCCTTATTTTCTTAGACACCTTTTAAAATTTTAATATTGATAGATAGTCTCCCATTCTGTCCTTGGTTTTTATCAATAAAGGACAAATTCTGTACCTGTCACGGAGGATGGTTTGAAGCAAAAACATACTCACCGCCATCAGTCATACTGCTTCCTTTCTCTTCCGTTTCCTGCTTTACTCTCTCCAATACTTCTGTAATCTTAAAATAAATATTTTTTCTTAATGAAACCAGATGAATGTCAATTTCAAAAAAAGAAAAGAAAAAAATTATCTGCTGGATAACTATTAGTTTTTAAAAAATCTATTAGTGTTAGTCAGATATGGAGGAACCGTTTTTTTCATGGAATCATGGAATTGTCAGAGTTGGAAGTGACCTCTAGAGATCCAACTCCCCTGCTAAAGCAGGACCACCTGGAGCACATCACACAGGACTGCATCCAGGCAGTCATCCTATGTGACTATTCCAGACACACAGAGCCATTACAAAAATTTCTGTCTTGAATATTTGGAAATTAGGCAGTAATTCTGAATTAAATGCCATGGAACACTCAACATGCTAAGGCAGTTCACAGTCTGGGGATTTTCCTTTAAATTTAAAGAAAAAAAAGAAAACACAACTGAAAAACAGCTTTAGGTATTTGTGGTGGTTCAGACCTGCAAACCCACACCCTGCCCCCCCCAGGCTTCACTGCAGTGTCAACACCAGCCAACATCGTTCTTCGTTTAGTTAAAAGGGCCATGGGCCCAGCATTATTCTTGTTTCAATTGCACATGCAGTAGCCTGAGACAGTCTGGCATTTTCTGATCTTGCTTGCTGGAGCAGCGCATTGAAATAATTGGCTAACTCTTGTTCTAGTGCAAATGCAGTGATTTAGGGTGATTAGGCACTCCCTAACCAGGGTGTCTTGTCTGGTAAAAGTAGTATAAATCCACATGTGATGTGACTAAAATTGTGGCCACAATGGAAAAATACTGACCAAAGTATTGGGACTCAATAATCTTGGGACTCTATCAATATAAATCCTAAAATGAGGCCCTCTGGAGCTCTCTCTCTTTGGAGTGTGATCGCAGCAGACTGCTGTCCTGTGCCTCATGAGGAAAGTTCACCTATCCTACGGAAAGGTGAGTTGTTGTCCTTTACCATGGAGGCCAGATTAATTTCTATCTGGGCTATGGACTTTCTAATTCCCTCCCTGCATAGCCTCACAGCATTTCTGTAGTCCTCATGAGTGGCCTGCCCCTTCCTCCAAAGGTCATGTTCAGCCAGGCTGGTCTTAAATCCACTGGTTCACCTTATAGCCCGTGGGGATGAGCTGCTCCTGTGCCCTCAAGACTTCCTTCTTGAAGAGTGTCCAGCCTTCCTGAACTCCTATACCCTTCAGAAAAGATTCCCAAGGGATTCTGGCAATCAGGGTGTTGAACAAGGTAAAGTTTGCCTTTTGGAAGTCTGGGTGGCAGTCTTGCTGCCCCCCCTCCTGGCATCTCTGAGAATAGAGAACTCTAACAATTTGTGGTGTCTGTGCCTGAGATGGCCTCCAACCATCACATCTCCTACCAGCCCTTCCCTGTTCACAAAGAGCAGGTCTAGCAGGGCACCTTCTCTGGTTGGTTCACTCACCAGCTGTGTCAGAAAATTATCTTTGACACATTCCAGGAACCTCCAGGACTGTTCCCTCTCTGCTGTGCTGTAGTTCCAGCAGACATCAGGGAAGTTGAAGTGCCCAAGAAGAACAAGGGCAAACGACCACAAGATTTCACCCAGGTATTTATAGAACAGCTCATCAGCCTCACTGCCCTGGTTGGGGAGATCTATAGCAGACTTCCACAGCAATATCAGCCTTGTTGGCCTTGCCCCTAATCCTGATCCTAATGCAATCTGCCTTGTCATCGTTAGAGTCTAATTTTAGACATTCATAACCATTCCTCATATACTGAGCCACCCCATCGCCTCTCCTTCCTGGTCTCTCTGTCCTGAGGAGCGGGTAGCTATCCACTCCAGTCGTGTGAGATATCCCATGTACCTGTGATAGCCATTATGTCATAGTTTTCCTGCTGCATTATGGCTTCCAGCTCCCCTTGTTTGTTGCCCATGCTGCACGTATTGGTATAGATGCACTTTAAAAGGGTTAATGATCTTGACATCTTTTTGTGGGCACGCGTCCTAATTCCTGCCTGACCCTTCTCAGGTATTTCCATGGCTTCAAAACAATAAATAACTATTGTCTTTCTGCTTCCCACTATATTTCTATCTCCTGTCTCGACTGAGGTGGCAGAGGGAGTCTTCTCTAGCACACCATCTTACAAACCCTGGCATGTATCCCTTGGGCTTATTTACAGCAGGCTCAGCTTTATCCTCTTCCCCCTTTGAATCTAGTTTAAAAGACTGTCAATGAGCCCAGCTAACTCCTGCCCCTGTGATTTACTCATAAACCATTGACCAAGTCTGTGACTAGGACTGGATTCAGCCCACTTTCTAAGGAGAAAGCGAGGGGGTCCACTCTGAACTTGTGACTCAACAGGAGGGCCTCCAGATTCTCTTCCCTGATCCCTGTGCAATTCACTCCAACCTGATCCTGATTCCATCTCCCCTGTCTCTATACACATTATTTCCCCTGATCCCTGTGTAAGTCACTTCCATCCACTTTCAACTCATACACATCCCTTCCACATAGTAAGTTATAGAGTGAACCTTGCCACCAAACTCTTAAGTCATGCTTGTATAAATGTATATTAAAATCACCTTTTCCTAAAACCTTTTTCAGTGATTCTTTAAGCGATCCCAAGACCTTCCACTCCTGTCTGTGACAGTATTAAGATAATTTCAGTGGTATGGAAAAGTTAGTATTTAGCCAAATATTACTTTTCTATGCTTGGATTATGAAAATTTCAAATTGCTAATTTTAAATAAAAGTAAGAATTATGCTTTTCTTCTTACAAAGAATTCATGGACAAGACTTGATTAGTCCTCAATAATTCTAGGACACAGGTTATAAAATACAGAACATTTACCCTCTTTTACCAACTGGGGAAATTAGGAGCTCATAAGTTTGCCCAAATTCACAAATTAAAAATCAATGGAAGCCTGGGTTTAAATTTTAGGGACTGGACTAGATTGCCTCCTCTAAACAAAATAATAATCTTTAACATAAGAACAAATCAGAAAGAATCCAAAAACTGCAAATACTAAATGCCAACTCTCTTAAGATTGTTTAAAAATAATAATTAAAAAAAAAAAAAAAAAGTGAAGATGTGTTTTACCTCAGAAAGCACTCTGATCCTTTCAGTTACTCCTCCACTTCCCTCCTGGTACTTCTCTTTAGCCTGAAAAGAAACATGTTTTTTGCTGTAATGACAAAGCTGAAGAGATTTATAAAGATAGCTCAGAGAGAACATCAAAACTTGCGCTCTCATGTCCCAGTTCCAGAAGCTCTCCCGCAAAATCCCAGTAACATTTACAGCACTACACATATGAGGACAGGCTAGAAACATCAGCCCTTGTAATGAATATAATTTAAAAACGTAAAACTGTTTTTATAATTGTTATAGCCCTAATACACAAACATTAAGAAGTATGTTTTCTAAGAATTTCCATGAGGAAATAAATTGAAAGAAAATTTGCCAGAATACAGACAGCATTGAGTCCTGAAACCCAGAATACTTCTTCATCAACAGTAAATTAATGTCTTAGAGTTTCTTAAAGTATGGTAAACATAAAGCACAGAGGTCAAATCCTGTTAGCCTCATTTTAATGTCATCCCCACAAACAGAAGGGCTAGCCAAATGGCAGCCCTCCTAAGGGCCTATACAGGCCTCCTAAGTAGGGGACCAGAAGTTTCTCAAACAGCATTCTCTTGGCATACAAGCTGAATGAAGCAAAGAAGTAATCAGAGTGCTTTGTGCACGTTAGCACGAGTAATCAATACAAGAGATGAGGGCTGGACTGAGACTGTAGTTTCTCTGCTCTTCACAGATGTGTGAACTTCACAGGGAAAGCAGAGCTAGCAGTTTACTAGCTGCTCAAGAATGGCAACAGAATTACATATTTCTTAGGTCTAAAAACACTTATTTTCCCCTGTAGAACAGCTGAATAAAAAATGGCTAGTTTAGTTTAAAAGCTATATAATTTGACAACAAATCAACATCTCCCTTGCCTTATGGCCAACTGCAGAACTCACAGATAACTCCTCCTAGTCTTCCTTGCCTTCACCCTCATTTAATAGCAAGTTAATAATACCAGGCAGTAACAAAAAGATCGGTGCATTACCTCACTCAGCAAGGCTTGTGCTGAACAGTACTCTTGAACCAAGTGCTCCAACTGATTGTTGATATACTTTTCTCTGCTATTGATCTTTTCCAGTGTTCTGCTGATTTCATTATGGAGTTTGTCAAGGTAACCCTAGAAAACCACATTCTGTTGGTTTGCAGTATACAGATAGCATGCAAAGACTATTAAAAATGTGCTGTAATTAAGAAAGGATATGGAAGCCTTTAAGTGAGAGGGAAAAATAGCACAGAAATCCTGTGTTTAGCAAAAAAACTCACATTTCTTATGTGTTCTGGTTTGCCCACCTCCAAACATGTATTGTAAGCTTAACTGCTTCCATCACTCTCCCCCCCTCAATTAATTACAAATGACAATGTCAGTAAGTTGCCCTAACAACCATATTCGACAGTATTTTGTTTCTTTTTTAATCAGCACTTATTTTCAGATTGTATCATTCTATTTTGCCCTCTGTAGTCAGGATGTACTTATGGTAATACATACATGAACCCTAATATCTCTGTTAATCCTCACATATACAGCTCTTTCCCACAAGACATTTTGCCAGTCCCACTGTCCCTAACCATGATATGTTTCCTTTTTTAGTTTTACAGCATTAGCACAAATAAAATTAAGAAAAAAAATCAATTTAGTTCTTAGTGTACATCAAGTGAAGGAGAAAAGAAAAATGCTGTCAGATCAGTGAAATAGTCTTCACATACAAGACATACCCTAGTTTCTTTTAAAGAAGATTCAATTCCATCCTTATGCTGATGCATTTGATCTACATGAATCCTCCAATCCTAAAAAAGATGCCACAAAGTAAAACATAGGTAAACACAAGTTTTATCTTCCTCTGTTTACTAAACAAAGGCTAGTATGCAAAGCAGGGTCAGGTCTCTTTTATACTACTACTGTCTATCATTCTGCCACTGCTGTGTCCATATCCAGCGGCACTTGCTTAATGTGACACAATTTATAAACTTCCTAAATGTCACATGTGACCATCAGATCTATAAACAAACACTGACATCCTCACTGATACCACAGTAGCTATGCTTTTTAGAGTCTGTTTGATCTTCATGGAACTGTTTCTGCTAGAAACCATGCTCAGAATAAGTATTGAAAATACTGGTGATAGCTGCACTAGCTCAGCTTTTTCTTAGACAAAATGAGTGCTTCAAATGCACAGCATATACCAGTTCCAAACTATCAGAACTTCCCTTCCTACTTAGCCCTTACTATTATCAGAAGGGGGAAAATTATTGGCAGCTTCTAGGTCACAGGAAACACACATGGACTCAGAGATGGGGGATGAGAACAGTGCTGTTTTAACTTGATACATAGGTGTCTTTTACTTAGAAATCAATTCCAGTTGCCAAGCATTATCACAGTTTTTTCCATATCAGTGCAAACTTTTTACATCTCCCAGACACAAAGCACAACAGCAGACAGACTGTGAGTTCAACAGGAAGCAGAGCAGCAGAATTACTGCTTTTTCAGTTGTGTGATATTGGGTATGCTAAGAAATACTTTTAACATTTTAAAGCTTTTAGCACTGTACACTGTAGGTGTAAAAAAAATAAAAAGTTATGCTAATAAATCTTTATCACTTGAAATTAAACTTTAGCAGATTTTCTTATAAAATAGGGACCATACAGACACATGGAAGGTGACAGTCTTTGATTCAGTAAGATTATCTGATCGAGGACATTGTCAAAAAGGATGCTAAGTAAAACAGAGAGAGGCACTAAACTGACTGACAAACAATAATGGAGGCAGTAACAAGAAACAAACCTGGACAGCTACAGTAATGGGTAGGGGAATGTGGAGTGTGAGAATGTTTGTAGCAGCATGGTTATCTGATAGAAGATCTTGTCAACATGGGATGATAAGGAAATAATGTGTAAAATTCAATAGCAGACTTAAAACTGAACTAGCCTTCAACTAGTAGGCCTTAGATCTAGGCCTGGGTATGAGGCAGGAAAAAGATATTCAGGGGAACCCACAAATGTAGAGTCTCCTTAAGATAAGCATGTGAGTATATGCATCTGTTGGCTGGCAAGCATCAAGCAGAACTAGTCACCAAGTAGAAGAGCAGTGAAAGTTAAGAGGGCCCAGGATCCAGGCAGAGGTATCAGACAGAAGGACGATGCTGATACTTGAGGGATCCATAAATGCACATGTGCTTGTGAATCTAGAGAGAAGGAGGTGTGTGCTTTTACTACTTAACTTCAGTCTTAATTAGCTCAAGAGGAAGAATGGGGCCTGGCTGTCTATACTCATGTTTTGTGGGATTCCTAAAAGTGCTGTTGAAGAGAGGGCCTTGTTGACAGCAGTTTGTGTAGCTGCCCATGTCAGGGTCCTTTGTGTGTCTGTGTGATATACGCTTAACTTGGATACTGGTTGAACCTGCAAACATGGAAGATGCAGGAGCTGCATCCGTCAGTCTGGGAGATACCTGATCCCAGAGCTCCTGAAGGATACAGCCACTTCTATGTACAGGGTACAAAACAAATCCCGGCTTAAAACAGCTGCACACTTAACCATCTGCCACCCGTCAATCATAGACAGTTCCACTGATTTGAAGTGAGGCTATCCCATTGCATAGGACCTAAGATAGGACATAACTACCAAAGGGCTGGTGCTCCTGTCTCGCCGTCTCAGAATAGGACAGCTAAGCATCTCCAGCAGCTGTTCAGTGGATGAGATTCAACTGCTGTTCACAACCATGCTGCTGCCCACTCTTCTCTTCAGAACAAAACAAAGACTAGTAGAGAAAATGTGCTTATGTTGGGGTTTAATTCTGTAGCAGACTCAAGACATTTTTTTGGTCTGGTGGCGATTGTTCACAATTTGCCAAAATTTGAGGCTTAAATAACAACAAACACAACCCCTCCTTGTCATCCCTTCCCTACCCCTGCTGCCCAGGACTTTACAAATAAGTTGTAGCTTCTAATGCCATTGATGAAATAATTTACCCTTTCCTGATACTACATTTACATGCACAGCTTAGGAAACAGAATATTATGCTTTTCTTGTAAAATTTAAAAAAAAAAAAAAAAGGCCAAATTCTTATCTCCAGTTATCTCTGAAAGTATGAAAGCACAGAAGCCAGGAAAACACGAATCGTCTTTTCACGTCCATTGTGACAAATTCCTTAAAACCAAGACATGGTGCGTTAAACTGGAAGATAGTAAACCTCAGTTCCTACAGTGGCTTCAATTTTCCATGTATGTCTTTATTATTTACTGTGAGGATCAAGCATCATGTTCTCTGTAACTGATCAGCTTGCCAAGGATCACAGAAAGGTGGCTCAAACCAGGCCATTCTTCACACAGAAGAACGCAGTACAGTGTAAAACGGGCAAGCAATTTTGCAGACAGTTGAGAGCTTAGCCTATTTTTGGTAAGATAATTAACTTTCATTGAATTCTGTATCACTGCTGCAGATTCCTCCAACACCCCAGGCTTCCAGGTCACTACAAATAAGCATTTTCAATACTGCACTGATCTGTGCATGCTACAGCTCCTAGAAAGAATGTTTGTGGCAATCAATGCCAGGAACAGGTCCTAGGTTTGGACTTGCCAAAGCTAAAAGTCTACTTCTAAGCTGCTCATTCTAGACTCCTTGAAATAGATTATGGAGAGAAATACACATTTCCAATAAATGAAGAATTTCATCTTGATGTAGTTACCTGTATAGGTAAGTACAATCAGCCAAGTACTCACTTCCTTTTGCTAAACACAAGGAGAGCCCATGATGACTAGATCAGAGGTACAGATCTACTATATTGTCATGTAAAGTTCAGCAAGATTAATTCCATACAATCAACCTTCATGTGGCTGACAAATGGAACAGTTGAAAGGTAAGAAGTTCATCAGCTCTCCTCCAGGATGAGGTTTTGTTAGCTGCTAAACTAAGAGTATAATTTTTCAGAAGTGTGAATACATTGGAAATATTTAATGTTTTAAGGAGTTTCCACTGAAAAAATATATGGAAATAAATATATAGAACTAAGGTGCCCTGCAAGTATCAGAAAAAAAATATTCTTATAAAATATTGGAAAAAACCCTACTAAAAATATTCCTTTCAGGGTCAAAGTAAGTGACAGGTTCAGACAAGATAGCACTGCAGATCACATTATTCAAACTTGTTGGCATGACCGAAAAAAATTGTCAATGGAAAATAAACAATATTGATTGAAATCACACTTTAATCACCATGTTACACACTCAAATCTATTCTTGCATACCTTATTGTCCGTCCTAACTGCAACCTTCAGCTGCGGAAGCACACGTTCCACTTCCAGATTCCATTCTGCTGCATCTGTAGTGGACTGTAAAATCTCTTCGTGTTTTGCAGCTTCATTCACGTCCTATGTGAAAACCAGAACATTTATGTACAAAATATCAGTTAAACACAGTGAGAACTGTTAGAAATCATGCTACAATGGCCTACATTGTTCAAATTCAGAAAATGTTTATATCCAGAATGATTTAGACTACAGATGTAACAGATTTCTTTAATAGATTTCTTTCAATTCATAAATACTAGAATTAAATATATATATCTCTCCTAATAATATATTAATTTTTAAATAATGAAATGTGTATTATAAGCAGTTATAATACATTCCAGAAATAGCGGGGAGTAGGATTAAAATACATTCATGAAACCAACACCATGTTTCCCTTAAAGTCTCTGCAAGAATTTCTTGCAAATGTTTCCAGTGACCTTGCCAGTTTAGAAACTGGCAGCACATTTAAAGGAAACTGATTCATTCGAGTTGGAATGTTTTTTTCAAGTTTAGACTATTCAAGTATTTTCAGACTTAAATCCAACAGAAATAAACTGCTACAGATGTAAAAATCTCTCAAGAGAGGACTGGTGGGTAGCAACTTACTGCTCTGTATGTCTGTGCCTTTAGAACATTCAGGTCAATAAAATTTTCTTCATTGTCTGACTCTTCTTCCTTAGGGAAAGTTGCAAAACAAGACTTCAATAAGTATCGCACCATTTTTAATGCTCCAGAACAAGGAGTATTAAATTCCATATTTCTGAACAACACAAGACTTAGAGAGTTTATGATAATGGAGCCTGTATTTACTTAAAATCTTATGAGAAGACACAGTATCTGGGACAAGATGAAAGCTACCCTACATTTCCCTCAGGGTGCCACGGTATTTGAAAACTAAACCAACCAAAAAAAAAAAACCAAACCCAGACAAACCAAAAAAAAAAAAAAAGCCCTCTCACATTAATTGGGCCATTAAAGAGTCCAGCGCAGAGCTACAAAAACGATTAAGGGAGTGGAACATCTTCATTATGAGGAAAGGCTGCAGAAGAGGATACTGAGGGGTGACCTCATCAATGTTTACAAATATGTTAAGGGCGAGTGTCAGGAGGATGGAGCCAAGCTTTTTTCAGTGATGTCCAGTGATAGGACAAGGGGCAGTGGATGCAAACTGGAGCATAGGAGGTTCCATGTAAACATCAGGAAGAACTTCTTTACTGTGAGACTGACAGAGCACTGGAACAGGCTGCCCAGAGAGGTTGTGGAGTCTCCCTTCACTGGAGACATTCAAAACCAGCCTGGACACGTTCCTGTGTGATGTGTTCTCGGTAACCCTGCTCTGGCAGGGGGGGTTGGACTAGAGGTCTTTTGAGGTCCCTTCCAACCCCTAAGATTCTGTGATTCTGTATCAACAGTTGTATGGTAAATGTAATTTATTCTGCGTTTCCTAAAGCTTTGCATTAAAAATAAGAACAAACCAAACACCAAACCACAACCAGAACATAGTTTTAGATGTTGTTTGCACTATGTAACTGGAGTTGCAGAATGATGCCCCATTTTAAGCATGCAGAATGATACCATTCACGTTGACACAACTGATCTGTGTTCTTACCCAACATTGCACACAGCGCTGATGGTTTTACAGAACTCTACATCATGGTCTCCAAACTGCATTCCTCAAGTGACCTTGATCAGCTCAGAGCCCATCACTACACAAGTCAAAGATGTTTTTTCTGTGCATTACCCTCCATTTATCTACAGTGAATTCCACCTGCCATGTTCTCACACATACACTTCACCCTTACCTTGTCTTTCTGTAACTCTTCTGTTAGCCATCTTTTCTTTTTCCTTTTTCTAGACTCTTTTCTAGACAAATCATGAAAGCTGCAATAACAGTGTAGAACCCTTCAAGATTCACCTAGTGAAAACCTGGGTGCTTATTCATCTACCTTACCTAGTTTTTAATTAACAGGGAACACTTTATTTTTTTTCTGGCATGTTTGGCCCCTAGTTCCCCGAATACGTGCAGGAAAATAATGGTTTCTAGATCGGGAAACTCGTTTGCTGAACGGACAATATACATTTGTGCAGCACTTAGAAGAACATATTACAATGGTACCATAACAACAACAAGCCTAGTTATCAGAACCGAGAAGCCAAACTGTGCAGATTTTCTTGCACACCTAATTGTGCTGGCTATTGTTGGCTTTGGCTACCTAATACATGCTACGCGGTTCCCCAAGACTTCCAGAACTAGGCTTGTTTCTGTCAGCCTCATCAGTTTTATTCAGAAGAATCAAAGCAAGAAAAACAAACCTTGTCATTAGCATTTAACTACTGGAAATACTGCTAAAGTCAATTATGGATACAGTTTGGATTTTTTCTCAGCTAATAAAAATGAGAAAAATAACACAATACTTAGGAAAACTGTGAGGAGAGGAAGGAGAAGCAAACCCTTCAGGTGTTACATTTTTGTGGTCTATTGCAGCATGGACTACATCTGGACTATAATCAGAATAATCTGTTAACATTACTGGCACTCTCCAACTTTTCTGACCTTTATTTTTCCCAAGCACTTGAAAATTGTCAATGCAAAAATGGGACAGTTGTGGCATTTTCTATCCAGTATTGTTGGGCCTTAACACACCAGAAAGTTATTTTCTCCTCAACTAATTTACTGACACCACAAGTGAGCACTTCCAGGCTCACAACTTTGAAAATTCTGGCTTTGATTTACATTGATTTTGTACAGAATCAAGAACTTTTGGAGAAATTGGATGTGAAACTAACTTCTTTTTGTAACTTTGTCTTTAGCTACCTTCCCTCTCCAGAAAAATCTCAAGTCAGTCGTAATAAGACTCGCTTTGAGGAGACTGATAGAAGCCTGTGAATATGACAATGTCTTATCACAGTATACTACCAGTTTACAGTGAGACTTCAACTCTCACAGAAATAATTCTGAGAAAGTAAATTGGCAAGAAACAATTTCTGTTCAACATCCACCCATCACTAAGACCTAAAAGTATATTTCAACAAAGACATGTACCTCATAGGGTGTTTCACAGACATAACTTCACAGTAATTATTACAGTTTAAAAGCAGGAATAAATAAAAGAGCTGATCCTCAAACATTGCCCTCTTGTTGGTAAAATGTATTTCAAAGCACACAGAAAGACTTAACTCTTCAGTCAGAATGGATATTACCATTCCACTCATGGAATATATAGAAATGAGCTGTCATGACCTTTGCCCACAGAAAAAATTCTGCAGCATTTATTTAGGTCTTCGCTGGTGTTTTTAAACAAATGCTGTGTTTCCAGTTGTTTGTAAATCTTCAAACCAACTAATTACCAATGCTTCTTTGTCCCGCTTAGCGCTGGAACAGGCTCCCCAGAAAGGTTGTGGAGTCTCCTTCACTGGATGCTTTCAAGACCTATCTGGATGCATTTCTGAATGACCTGCCCTAGATTTAGTCCTGTTCTGGCAGGGGAGTTGGACCCGATGATCTTCAGAGGTCCCTTCCAACCCCTAACATTCTGTGATTCTGATTCCTACTTGCAGTAAAATGTGAGTTACAATAGTAAGCACTAAATTAAGCACTGGTCAAATTTTAACCAAGTATTAGCCAATTCTTTAAACAGGGACTGAAGTTCTGTTGATCATCAACAGCTTGATTCGGTAGAAAACAACAATTCTGAATTTGTGTCATTTTAATGTATGGTTAGATTCCACTTCACTTTACATTAACTATAAATGTGCATAAGAACATAGGCTCTGTTCCAGAGTTAACAACCTTACCTGAAAGGAAACAAAAAAACTCTACAGAGAAGGTGATGAAGAAGGAATGGAGATACAGGAAAAAAGGTCAACTGAACAGCTAATAGAAAATATTTCCTCTTAAACAAGGCCAAGCAAAATAAGCAGTGAGTAAAAATGTCCTCATAGTTCAGAAATATAATCAAAACCAGTTAGGGAAACCTACCACAACATCCTCTTCCAATTTATTAAGTGTTAATTCTTCATTGTCTTCTGTTATTTCTTCTTCTTCTAGCTCTTCTGTTGGATATACTGGCCTGAGATTAATTCAAAGAACAGCAGAGCTTTTAAACACAGTGCATTGAAAATCCCTCTGTAAATTGCTCCTAAGCAAATGTCCTGGTTTGAGCCAGGATGAAGCCAATTTTCCTTTTACTGGTTGTTTTGTTGTTGGTTTTTTTTCCTTCATTGACCTTTCTTTTAACTAGCACCAGTGTGTTCTAAGGCTGCTAAGGGAGGAATGTTTTTGTAACTGCTGGGACTCCAAGGTCACACTCTCACTCTGCTGGCTCAGACACTACGGGGCGATCTGTGACCTCCCCGTAGGAGGCTGAGTTAGACAGACAGCAAAATTGGCCAGAGATATTCCATTCCATATATCCACGTAGGCTCAGAGGAATGTCAGAGATCACAGAAGACAATTCCCTTCCTGCTACTTCTTCCCTTCTCTTCTATCCATGGCCGGTGTCTGGGGAGGACTCCATTCATCCATCACCATCAACCCCCAGGCTCAAGCTCTCCTGACCCTCATCACTCTGTGCTCTCTCCAGCAGCAGTCTGGGATTTTTTTGGACTGTTCCAGCTCAGGGGAGTGCTGTGGGAGTTGCTGGGGGTGGGGGGAGGCAATAGGGGTTTGCACACTACCTGAACATATTTGTACATAATTGTATATATTTTCTTATATAATTAGTGTTTAATGAAAACTGTGTAGTTTAATTTTCAGTTCAGCCAAGTCTCTCTCTTTTTCTCTCTCTTCTTCCCTGCCTGGGCGGTAGGGGGAGGAGATTGAGAGCATTTTTGTCGGACCCAAGTCAAATGGTAACAGCAAACAAAACATTTCATGAGATGTATGGATGATGTGGAATATGACTAGACAGTCACACATACATGAACAGGTAAAATTAACACTCAGCCTTAAATTCTTTGTTGGACTGCGTTAAAATAGGGCTTATTAGCTATTATGCCAGGCAGTGCAGTATGTTCATACTACAAAGATATCTATGGTTTAAATTTTAATTTGCTTTCTCTTTTGCACTAATGTCTTAAAATTCAAGTGCAAGTCACCACAGACTTATTTTCAGGCTACAGAAGAATTTGTTTACTAAACAGAAGTAACAGTAAAATATTTAAAAAGTAGAAATTACTTTGCTATATCCATTTCAAAACCCATGAGAAGACAGGAATTAAGTAAAGAACACTTCTAAAGAAATTTTTATATACTTAAAATTATCTGCCATCTAATTTCTCCTCAGGTTTCCTTTGGATTAAAATAGTTACTGTAGTCTACTTGTAACATGGTCACATACTGTACATATCTACAACTGAAGAGGTCAAGAATTTAGCTATTGATTGATAGGACCTGAAAGGACATTACATTTTTCAACTCAAATGTGAGATCAGCAAGCAGTTATGCATAGGATACTACAAAAAAAAAGTAATCTGTCAAATCTTTACTAATTAACAAGTCTATTAATGGCCCAAATTCACCCTTGCTGGTAACAGACTAAATCGTGTGAAATTGCAGTAGGAATCAATTGGTTCCACTGCTTCAAACCTAGTTGAATTTTGCATCTCATCTAACATTAAGTAAAACATTTTTAGTCATTACAACTTATATTTGTTTGCTGGAAAACAATGTACAAGAGGGGATGCTTTAAAGTGTACTGTACCTTTTCCAGCTAAAGCTGGTATATTTCAAGGCTTCATCAGCTAAACAATCAAGTACATAGCACACTTGCTCTCCATTACCTGCCTTTAATTTTGAGGGAGGAAAATCCACAGGCCTTCCCTAAAATGAAGAGATACGGTATTTACTAATGGCTACTCGTCATTCTGAGTTTCCTCTCAGGGAGATAACAAGACAGTTTTTACACTAGAACCCAAGTGTCTATTGTGTAAGAAGATTTTACTAATGTTAATTTATATTCTTCGCCTACACAGCTCCTGTCAGGCAATGGAAGGGTAAACAGAACAACCCAAGGAACAGATGCAGTGCAGAAATCTTAAAGCACCTGGTAAGAGAATACTCATAGGGAGCAGAAGAGTCAGAAGCCACAAGGGAGCTAGATGGTCAAGCACACAAGTGACACTCTGGTGAGGTAAGAACAGCCATGGAGAAACTTGGGTACTGAGGCTTAATCACCATCTTTTCAGCTTTGCAATGTTTCTTCTAGTTTTCATTTATAACATATCTTATTTGTATTTATTGCTGTCCTGCAGAATAAACATCTGAGTTTGTTATGGTTTAACTCCATTAGATAACAGTGTTCTTAACACCATTAGCAGCTGCACCACAGGATGCTCTTCCATAAGATCATACTTCTTCTAAATCAATATCCTCTCCTGGCCTTTGGTTGGTTGTTTTTGTGTTGATTGTTTTTATTTAATATTGAAAAAAACTCCATTAATTCCTGTGTTTGCTCAACCTTTTACTCCTTTAACAACAAATGAAGGAAACATGAATGCAGTTCTAACCATTTCTTTCACTATGAATGATACCATTTGACAGAAGCAGGATCACGGGTACTGTGTAAACTTTCCAGACAAAATCTTTGTAAATTATACTACTGTAAGTGAGCAACACATGTGGCACTACAAGAAGACAAATTTAATCCATTTTACAGACTGTGGAGCAAAGCTAATTAGAATAATTTATAACACTGTAAACCCATTTTTCGAGTGCCAAAAAATCAGCAAGTAGGTACAGACCATATAGACTTCCAATTAACTAATGAACATAGTACCGACATATAGATACGAAACATCTGTCTGGACCTTGGGAAAAGGAGAGGAAGTGTGACATTACTGTTATTTCTGAAGGTGGTGCATGTGCTTCAAGTACATTTGTGAAAACAGTATATTCAACACTTACAAACGATCGCAATTCCGAGAGTATATTTGATATTATTGCATTGGGATCATCATATTCTTGTGGCTGTTCAAAGCGATGTCCTGCTTTAGTGATCAGCCAAGCAGCAAGTGTGCAAAACATGAAGAACTGCTCGCCGGGATTAGTGGCCAGTGCAAAGTAGTGCCTGTTTAAAAAGTGGAAAAAATGGTAGATGTTTTGAGCTCCTGATGCTCTTACAGACCAGCACAGACTGGAAGGCAGTTTATTTAACTGACTTTCTCAATGAGTGATACATCTGGACTAAATTCAGGATGCCTAGTTTCACACATAACCACAGCAGACAAAGTTTTCTATATTTAGCTCACGTCTCCTGCTTTGAGCGGGCGGGAAACAGTCTATTAATCAAGATTAGACTCCCAAGGAAAGCAAAGGAAACTGAGTACTCCTCTCCCATTCCAGCAGGATTATACAGCTCCAAGATAACAACACCAAATTAACACTTCCACATGAACCCCAAGTTACTCCTCTTATTTACCTTAGCAGTCTCAAATGATGATGAGCTCAACTCTATTCCCATCTAAATTCTAGGGAGGAAGAATCCATCCCATCACTTCATAAAATACCACCAGTGACTAATTAAGAGCCGATACAATGGATTCATTCTAATGTCCTGTGCATAACATCCTTAAAAGCTCAACAGAATCAAAAGTCAAAGTTCTGCAATTGCCACTAACTTGTAGGCCACGATGAGCTAAGATTTTGCTAAATCTCAGGCATTTTTCACGGAGCAAATGATTTACAGTGTAAGACAAAATTTAAGTTTGAAAACATACTCTGAACAGATTAGCAAAAGTAATTTATAACAAGTGTCAACATCACAGCAAACAGCTGACTTCTAAAACAAAATTAAAATGATCCATTGCTAAAGCTTTATACCTTTACCCACGACACTGGAAGCCAGGATGGGTTTGTCTCATATTTTATCTACTTTATAACAGATTAAAAAAATGCTTTAGAAGCTTATATAATTCTCCATTAAAGGGAGTTTAGACAAATAGAACAAAGAAGGTTATCTGTATTTGGGTAAACAATTATACCTCTTCAACAATAACTAAGTAAATAAATAAACTATGCACCAAGTGACTGCATGAAGACATGAAGGCACTTCCTTGAGGAGGGGAGAGCAAATCAATGGAAGCCTCATTGCCTAGATATGTCCTCTTTCTTCATACTGGCCTCATCCATGCCACTATACCACAGTAACCTCACCTCCTGCTCCCTTCTTAACATCCCCAAATATCCTTCCTGAAAGTAGCAATACATCCAGTTCCTTTAGCTCCAAAGTTCCACAAACTTCTTCCCCTTCCCATATTCCTCACGAGTGTAAGAGGCTCTTGTACCTACATCACTGTGTAAGCTCAGATGGTAAGTAGATGTTTTTGAAGCAATCCCTCCACCCATCCTCACTTACTGTGCTTTGGGTTCCTTTAGAGGGTCAGGTACACAAACTGGATCTATTTTGGACCACACTAAATTTACGGATGTGGTCTTAACGAGAATTAAGTCCATAAAATCAGACCATGGTTAGACCCCCTAAAATTACACATCATGTGGGCACTGGATAGTCGGAACCAAATCCTTCCCTTTCCAGATGTGGCTACTTGCTAAGGCAGACAAGGGTTTGCTTCCTTGCCCCATGTATACTGATGGTATGACAGCTGGCTAAAACTAGCTTATAGCCACTGCAGTCACACTCAAGCCTCTTCTCCAACAAGAGAATATTTTGGACAATTTTCCCCCCTACCAAACTGTTGCTTAGCTGTGTGCTGTGCTGCTGCACAGCCTGGCTGAAAATGACAGACAGACTTCAGTTACTTGGGCAGGTGTATGTTGGAAGCACACTGGCCCCACTCTCCGTCTCACACCATCACTTAGAAAAACCCCAAAAACCATACAAAACAAATATATAAGGAAAAACAGACTTAATGGGTGCAAACCCCACTCACTGCAAATACACACCCCGAATAGAAGAAATTCATTTAGGGTAGAATTATTATTTACACGGGTAGACTGACTTGCAGATACTCAGTATCTGCCGGGACTGGCGGAGGCCAAGTGACTATTTACTTCCCACATCTCAGCCTTTAGAAGGAGTTGCGTTTTGAAAGCTCCTGCGTCGCAGGAGAAGCTCTGAAGGTTTTCCCTTGACCCAGGCACCCGGTAACGTCAGAGCCCGCCCTCCTTCCCGGATTCCCGCTCCCGGGGGCGGCACCGCCCGGCTGGGATTTCCTCCCCCCAGGACGCCGGCCTCGTACCCCGGCACCCGCGGGCCTGGCGCCCCGCGCTGCAGCTACCGACCCCCGCGCCTGGAGCTTCGCACCCCCC